CCCCAAAACCCCAAAACCCCAAAACCCCAAAACCCCTAAAAGACCATTAAAATCGTATTTATTTATTACCATTATGGAAGACCAGAACCAAACCAGCGAGCTGTATAGAAGAATTACGTGCGTTAGAGACCAAGATGTGATCGTGCTTGCAGAAAGGTAAGATTTCTTAGAGGAAACTTGGCTTAGGCTGTTTTTATAGGGATGAAAAAGATAGGGAAGTGGCCATCTTTAGGGCCGAATATGCTGATGGTATAGAGAGGTATGGTAGAGATGAGAGGTTTTAGGAATGGAGGGATTTTTAAGTCTGCAGATATATCAAGGGAATTGCAAGTTGTTCTTCAACTAGTGGCTGAGAATTGTGGAATAGTTCCAAGAGGATCAAGTGAAGAGGATCGTGACGATTTGATTGAAGACTATGTGTTTAAAAATATTGATTTTGGGAATGATGATGAAGGGAGAGAAGATTGGCAAGACCTTATTCGAGTTGCATTTGACAAAGAATTTGATTGCGAATTGGACCTTGATTGGTCATATAAGAAGTTAACACAAGAAAGAGAACTAATACTAAAACTTGAGACTGAATTCAGAACACTAGAAGAACCTAAGGTAGATAATCGTTTAAATACTCTTCCAAAACCACGAATCTCTAACATTCCTACAGACAACTTCTATACTCTAAAAAGAATTACATTCGAGAACTGTATTTTCCCTGAGATCAAAACCCGAAGACAAGCAAGGTACTTATACCCCACATTGACAGAAGTACTAGATGAAGAACTCTCATTCAATTCAGCTGCCAGAATACTACACTCCTTCACTTTCTCGAATTGTTCATTTAGAGGAGAGGCTTGCATTACATTGAGATTTTTCTTAGAAAGATTCCACGACCTCTCTGCTCTATTTGTCAAGAATTGTAAGAAGAATGGGGATTATCACGGTAAGCTTAATTTTTGGACTACAGTTTTTATTTTTAAAGTATATATCACATTCTCATATAAACTTTTCTATAATTAACCTTATCTAATTATTACATAAAATCTTCCCAACCAGAAATTCTCACTTATTAACAATCTCTATAAAGACCCAGACGGAGGATTCTTTCCGCTCAATGAAATAGACCACTCTGCAATCAAGGTGAACAGTTTCCAGACGGAACAAGTGATGGCCTGGCATGAAGAGCAATAATCTATCTGAATTCCATTGCCAGTTTTATAATTTTATATATTCCTGCTGCTTATTGGGGTTTTGGGGTTTTGGGGTTTTGGGG